AGAATCCACCGTGAAGTAGTCCCAGAAGAGAGGTAGTAATGGTATTTCACCTGACCGCCCTCTCTCTTCTGTGGCCTGGGGGGTAGAACTACTCACACTGTCCTTTGATGTAGCTTAGTGGGTTACAGCTGCTTTCAGACCTTAGGCTGGGATGGCTCCTTCCCTGCTGACAGGCTGTCCACCCGAAAGAGACTGTAGGGCAGTGGAGATCCTTCTGTCTGCTCCACCCTGTAGGTAGATTTCCCTCTCTGGGGCCCCCTCCCAGGCACCACACTCCAACACCTTCCTTCAGACCATCTTCCACCCGACTTCCCTGCTGCTCAGCTTCTTCTACATTTAAGGGTTGCTCTTAGCCACCATGCCCAGCCTCCTGTCTGGGTATTGGTCAGGTTCCCTTAATTATGCAAATCTAGGCCTCCTCCCCTCCTCCACCCCTCTTCTGGAAAGTTCCAGTAGTTTTTGGAAGAGTGTGGGAGGGCTCCAGAAGCCCTGACCTGTAAAGCCTCCCAGCCTGTGCTGAAGTAACCTCACTACCTCACTCCCAGGCTGACTCATCCCAGGCATCTAACAAACCTCTGACTCATAGCAAAAATGCTAGCTAAAGCTAGAGGGTGCTACATCTGTCCCATCCAGGGGCGGACTGACCATTTGGAAATTCGGGCACTGCCCGAGGGCCCAGAGTCAGTAGGGGGCCCCATGAGATGCCCCTGGTACCCTTTTCATAGGCTTTTTTGAGTTTGGGCAAAGACACAGGGGCCCCGTGATCCCCTATTGCCCAGGGGCCCCATAAGTTGTCAGTTCACCCCTGATCCCATCTTAAAGCCCACAAAACTCAGCAAATTGAAGATTACACTACAATTAACTATTTGATGAGTTTCAAATTGGATTATCATTATTATCTATTCAGGAAAGAAAAACTTTTGAACTAAGAATGATAACTCTATTTGACACAAGAGATAATGGCCTGAATTTGGACATGGGATTCCTCAACCATTATCCAACAGTTTTATCACCTCAAGCATGACTGCCTCTGTGTGAGTGTAGTATTCCCCCCTCCCCTCTCGCTTTTGCTGTCTCTTATCTCTAGCCTCCTTTTTTTTTTTTTTTTTTTTTTTCATCCCTTCTAATATTCTGCTGAAACGTTGTTATTTGTATTTGTATAGTACTGCTTGGACCTTGAAGAAGGGGACATACCCCAAAAGCTTGTCCTCAAAATTGTATGTTAGTGCAAATAAAAAAAAGTATCACGGACAGTACTCAATTGTTTCTGTTTTAAATTGGATTATCAGAAATAGGGTGCATTATCATAAGCAGAAGTTCATAGATGTTTTCAATTAGGAAGTTTCCTGTTGCCTTTGTGGTCTACCTCTATAGATAAAATGTTCAAAGTTTCATAAGCATTCAACATGGCTTCTTCTGTTGCCACTGCAGAATTGTTTCATTGTGGTGCATCCACCAGTGCATGTGTCCCAACTGGAAGGCATAATAATATTAGGTAAAGCCAGGCCATATTTAGACAGAGGGAGTGGGAGTGTTTTTAGACATATTCTAGCTGGATGAGGTCCCCAGAGAAATGAGATGAGAATTGAATAAATCTCTTTAAATCTCTTTTTTCAGATGTATACGGGGGTTTAGCCAGGATGTATAGAAAGTAAGAGAGGAATGCAATTTTGTTAACAAGAACAGGTCCTAGTTTTGGATGGGGGGGGCTGTGTGTGCAGAGGGGGCGACAAGGGCTGTTGATGAGAGCGGTTGATGGGGGAGGGGGCGCATGGTGTAGAGGTGAAAGCTGTGGATGGGCTGGGTGCGGGGATGAGAGCGGTTGATGGGGGGCTGGGTGCAGAGGTGAAAGTTGTTGATAGGGGTAGCCAGGTGCACAGATGAGAGCTGTGGATGAATAGGAGACTGCTGGGTGCAGAGATGTGTGTGTTTGTATGCGTGGAAAGGGGGGGGTTCAGTGAGTTCAGAGGTGGGAGTTGGGTGCAGTGTGAGAGCTGTGGATGGAGGATAAATGGGAGGGGGGCCAGGGTGCATAGGTGAGAGCTGTGGATTGTCAGAGGGGAGGGGGGTGGTTAAAAAGGTGAGAGCTGTGTATGGGAGGGGGGGGGGGGGGGGTGCAGAGGTGAAAGCTGTGCATGAACAGGATGGGGGTGTTGGGTACAGAGGCGAAAGCTGTCGATTGGGCTGGGTGCGGAAATGAGAGCTGTTGATGGGGGGGGCTGAGGTGCTGAGTGAGAGTTGTTGATGAGGGTGCCTGGGTGCACAAGAGCTGTGGATGAGTAGTGCAGAGTGCAGGGTGCAGGGGTGAGTACTGTGGATGAGTCTGTGAGTGGGGGGGGGGAATCGGGCGAGTGCAGAGGTGGGAGCTGTTGATGGGAGGAGCTGGGGTGCAGAGGTGGGAGCTGTGGATGCAGGGGAAATTGGGGGTAGGGGGGAATCCAGGGTGCACAGGTGAGTGCTGTGGAGGGTGAGGAGGAGGGGGGTTGGTTGAAGAGGTGAGAGCTGGGGAGGGGGGTGCAAAGGTTAGAGTTGTGGATAAAGGGGGAGATTTTTTTGTTGCAGAAGAGGGAGATGTGAATGAGGGAGGGGGTGCTGGGAGCAAAGGTTAGAGCTGTGGATTGGGGGGGGGGGGGGGGGGGGGGGGGGGGCTCTGGGTGCAAAGGTGAACACTGTGCATAGAGGGGAAGATGTTCAGGTGCAGAAGAGGGATCTGTGGATGCAGGGTAAATTGGGGGGGGGGGGGGGGGGGGGTTGCAGGGTACATAGGTGAGAGTTGTGGATTGTGAGGGGGATTAGTTGATGAGGTGAGAGCTGTGGGCAAAAAGGGGGGAAATGTTCTGGTGCAGAAAAGGGAGCTGTGAATGAGGGAGAGGGTGCAAAGGTTAGAGCTGGGGATGGGGGGGGGGGGGGGGGTTGGGGTGCAGAGGTGAGAGCTGTGGATGGGGGGGGGAGTAGTTGGATGCAGAGGTGGGAGCTGTGGATGCAGGGGGGAAATTGGGGGTAGGGGGGGAATGCAGGGTGCTGTGGAGTGTGAGGAGGAGGGGAGTTGGTGTTGAAGAGGTGAGAGCTGTGGATGGGGAGGTGCACTGGTTAGAGTTGTGGATAAAGGGGGAGATTTTGTGTTGCATGAGAGGTAGCTGTGAATGAGGGAGGGGAGGGGTGCTGGGAGCAAAAGGTTAGAGCTGTGGATTGGGGGAGGGGGGGTTCTAGGTGCAAAGGTGAACACTGTGGATAGAGGGGAAGATGTTCAGGTGCAGAAGAGGGATGCAGGGTAAATTGGGGGGGGGGGGGGAGTGCAGGGTACATAGGTGAGAGAGTTGTGGATTGTGAGGGGGATTGGTTGACGAGGTGAGAGCTGTGGATAAAAGGGGGGAAAGGTTCTGGTGCAGAAAAGGGAGCTGTGAATGAGGGAGAGTGTGCAAAGGTTAGAGCTGGGGAGGGGGGGGGGGTTGTTGGATGCAGATGTGAGAGCTGTGGATGGGAGGGGGAGTAGTTGGGTGCAGAGGTGAGAGTTGTGGATGGGGGGTTGTTGGGGTGCAAAGGTAAGATCTATGGATGGAAGGGCAGTAGTTGGGTGCAGAGGTGAGAGCTGTGGATGGAGGAGGGGGGTAGTTTGGTGCAGAGGTGGGAGCTGTGGATGTGGGATAGGGGTAGTTGCTACATCTGTATTTTAGGTTATAAGGTGCCCAACTCAACAATCCCATCCAGGGGCGGACTGACCATTTGGAAACTCGGGCACTGCCCGAGGGCCCGGGGGTCAGTAGGGGGCCCATGAGATGCCCCTGGTACCTTTTTTCATAGGCTTTTTTGAGTTTGGGCAAGGACACAGGGGCTCCATGATCCCCTATTTCCCAGGGGCCCCATGAGTTGTCAGTCCACCCTGGAGGGGTTAGTTGGGTACAGAGGTGAGAGCTGTGGATGGGGGTAGGGTAGTTAGGTGCAGAGGTGAGAGCTGTGGATGGAGGAGGAGGGTAGTTGGGTGCAGAGGTGAGAGCTGTGGATAGGGGATAGGGGGTAGTTGGGTGCAGAGGTGAGAGCTGTGGATGGGGGGGGCCTAGTTGGATGCAGAGGTGAGAGCTGTGGATGGGGGGGGGTAGGATGGGAGGGGGGGTAGTTGGGTGCAGAGGTGTGAGCTATGAATGGGGGAAGGGTAGTTAGGTGCAGAGTTTGAGAGCTGTGAATGGGGGAGGGGGGTAGTTGGGTGTAGAAGGGAGTCCCAGTGATGATCGTTGTCACGGTACATAGAGGCAGGCTCCGTATAATAACGTATAAACTCCATTTGCTGATCTGATCCGAAGTTAGGTCTTTTTGCTCAGCTGAGTGAATGAATAGAATGCTTCCCATCGGCTGTTATAAGGCGGGGCGATCGCTAGGGGGCAGCAGAGAGGGGTCCCAGCGGAGCCGCAGGTGCAGGTCGGGCAGAGTGGAGGAGAGCCGAGGATGGCAGTGGGGAAGTTTGGATGGATGGTGTGACGGTCGCAGCACCGGAGGACAGTCCTATGAACTGAGATCCAGGGAGAGACAATCGGTATAAAGGAAAGGCAGAGGCATCAGCAGGCAGATGTAAGGAGCAGCTATTGTACAGCGGCTGGATGACAGAAGACAGAGCAGACACAAGCCTGCGATCCGACAATTTACAATCCGGATCTGAATTTTGCACACACATCGCCTGGAACTGCGATCAGAGCGGAGCCAGCCTGAGAGGTGAGCAGTGCCAGTTTCGATCCCTATGATCCCCACATATCAGGACACTGACAAGAGGAGGATCTGCTGAACCTCTCCTGAACACCAGGACAACCCAGTGCCTGTCCACCCCCGGGGAGAGAAATTGTCCTGGGGGAGGAAAGTCCTAGAGTGTAGACAACTTTTAGTTCCTTTGGGATTGAAAGCTTTAAATATACTGACTACCCAATGGTATAACGTCTTCTGTTACAGCTTTTGGAAGTTTGGAAACTCTGCCTTGATGGTATCCAGTGGAATTAGTTGGTAAAAACACAACCATGGAAGATCAGACCAAGCAGGGCTTAGCAGACCCTATGTGCCTAGAAGTGGAATCCAACCAATACATGGGTAACCGTGGAAGACACCAGGTGGACTTCTTGGAGGAAATGGCAGACCCAGGGGACATTTCATTGGACAGCCTGATCTTTCAGAGACCAGAGGATGGGATCTCCTATCAGAAGAGGGGAGGAGGACCAGCATCCTCTGATAACAATGAGCTGGAGAATGTCCTTGACTCCATCCTGGACACCTCAGCCTCCAGTCACCTCCACCCATGGGCTGATTATGTCATTCCAGAGTTCCAGGAAATCTCTGTGACATCTGCAGCCTTGACCAAGACTCTTGGTGACCACACAGCTGATAAAGAGGAGGTTGGAGTTTGGACTGGGGCCACCGCAGCTGAAAATAAGAGCATTCCTTCTTTAGTGCCTAAAGAGCAGGACAAAGCCACCCTGGAGTATACTATAGAAAATCAGTTGGAAGGGAAGGGTAGGAGCCATGGATTGTTGGCCTCTAGGCATCCACCTATGCCACCTGTTGGAAATTTTAAACAATATGCCTATGTTGCCTGGAAGTGCCGTATATCTGCCTGCTCATTCCAGGCACATTGAGGACAATGATGACTGTGACCAAAAGTCTTCTCCATGCTCATCACAGCATTTATCCCCATACCCATGTCACAGTTCCTCACACCATGATGGTAAAGTCAAACAGGAAGATTCTGGGGTCTCCTTGCTAAAACCTCCAAAACAAAGCACCTTGTACCCAGATTATGGAATACCATCGTCAAGTCCTACAGCGCCAGGTCCTGACTGTTCTCTGGAATATATTTGCAAAACTGAGACTACAGCAGCATATGAAAATTTCAGATCTACCCTAGGTAAATCATGCGATAACACGACTCCTGTTTTACCCACTTCTTCTACTTCTTCTCAAAAACCTCTACCAGCCCCTGAGCCTCAATGTCCATCAGCAAATTTCCTACCAATCAGGAACTGTAAAAAATGCCTTCGTACCCCAAATTCATCTATCCTATGAACAATATTCCAGGTAAGTGCTAATTTTCTCGAGTACCTGTCCAAGTAGAAGACTTCTACCTATCTCCTTTGACAGGTAGAAGTCTGGATTAAACTAAATTCAGTTATTTTCATTTAGAACCTCCTGATCTGTACATTTTTAGCAATAATCATCTAATTAAATAATAATATTAGAAAAAAAATGCAGACAGTAGAAATTATGGTGTCCCTAACATTAGTGGTGCCCCCTTGCATTGGTAGGAGGTCACTTCACATTGCTCTAGGAATCCTAGGCAATCTGGAGGAACCCTAGGGTTGCTCTAATCCAGAGGTGTGAGAGCAATTTCAGACTGACATTTTAGTGTTTTATCCACTTGTAAAAATCTGCTCCATTTATCCCATTTCTTTCACGTCCATTGAGAATTAATGAAGATATTCTTAATGTAAAATTAAAAGGCAACTAACATCTTGCTAGTAACGTATATGAGTGGTGTAGATGACAGCTCATTGACGTTGTGGTATTTTAGCTACAATTTCGAAACGTTTAATGTTTTTTCTCAACAACTAACCCATTTGTTTGTGTTCTGTGAATATATGAGCTCTTGCTAGGTCTTACATTGAACATTACCCATGGCTGATGACTCTGTAGGCAAATGTAAATCATTACTAAGTGCCTGTAAACAATGGAAGTCACATTTTATTGGCTTCTTGGGAGCATAAAAAAAATGAGAACCTGCAGTTTGGCTGTATTATCGCTGAAACATCTGCCCATCTGTGGCCATCCTATCTAGAGCGACCGATTGTATTTCATTGTTATAACGACTCATAAAATGTAGACTGTGATTGGTCTGTGTGGGTTACTACATTTTATCCTTCATTCCCACGTGATTTGTTGCTCCTCTCCAGAAGCATGACAATGTTCAACAAGAAGATTTCTTTTTTTATTCTATGGGGCCCATTTACATATGAGCAATGTGCTGTTGCTTGCCTCACCAAAGAAGGACAGGCACTTTTTAGCGGCAGAACAATGTGTTTTTCACTCCATGAACTTCAATGGGAGTGTCTAAAAAATGTTAGTAATGCACATTTTGTACAGGTTTTCATGCCTATTATCCAGTCTCCTGCTACTACTAATTTTCTTTCTACTGGCCTAAACAAAAATTCTTATGACTGAAACTGTGGAAAAAATGGTGTAAAAAAAGTCTCAAAAAAATGCCTGAACAAGCTGACGCTCAAGTGTGGACCTAGCCTTACCCATCATTATTGCTTCCCCTATGGCCCAATTTAGTAAGGCTGAAAAACTAGGACCATTATACCAAAAAAGTACATTTTGTGCATTAGGTAAAAGAAGTACTAAAGCATTCACTTCTGTGTTTGTAAAAGTACTCATCATTTTGTGTGTTTTCAAAAAAAGAAATTAGTAGTTGCATAAAAAATAAATTAATTAAATAAATACATAAATATTAGAACAGTTAGGTATTGTTACCTTGAAGTTTTTTGTGAGGAGTGCTGCACTTTTTTTTTCTTTTTAATGGTAGTGAGACATTCATTTGGCAGTCTACAGTATATATACTGTATATATAAAATGTGTTTCATTACTGTCTCATCATTCATGCAAGTGTAACAAATAATGCCCATAATATTTGTCATATGTGGGTAATGTCAGTTTCTATTACAGGCGTACCTCAGTTTACAAATTTAATTTTGTTCCGCTGGACTTTTCGTATTGCGAAAAATTTGCAAACCGAAACGTGGTTTCCCATAGGAATGCATTGAAAACCAATTAATCCGTTCCGGAGGTCAGAAAAAAGTAAAAAAAAAGTATTTTATCTGTTCAAAACTCTTTATAAAGTGCACTTTAAAGGCATACATACTGTACAGGAACATGATTAAAAATTAATTTGTAAATGCATTGAAAACCAATTCATCCGTACATATTGAGAAAAAAATTGGTAAACTGAGCCATTATTTTCAATCGATTTTCATTCGTAAACCGAAAATTACGTTACCCGAGGCATTTGTAAGCCAAGGTACACCTGTAGTTTTCTTTCACTGGGCAAATGTAAAATTCCTCGTTGAATGCTAAATGTTACAGCTTCCAGCTTAAGGTGGTGAGGGACACAGCAGTGAGACAAACAGTGATTCATCCATGACTAACACATCTAGGTGTCAGCCAGGGATTCTTGACTGTCAAGTGAATGTAAAAAAAAAAAATCTGAATGGGGCCTCCCCAAAATTCATACCAGACCCTTCAAGCCTGGTATGTATTTTAAAGGTAGCCCCATAATAAAAACAAACAAAAAATGGCGTGGGGTCCTGCCCAAATTCTATATGGATTTTAAGGGGGAGCCCCACATAAAACAAAAAAAAGAAAAAAAACATTGGGTCCATCCTCAAATCCATACCAGACCCTTTTCTTACTGGCAGGTGAATGTAAACAAAAAAAGCAGGAAAAAAAACAAAATGATGTGGGATTCTTCCCAAAATTTAGATCAGGCCCTGAAATATGATATAGAATTCAAGAGAGAACCCATGCAAAAAACAAGAGAAAAATTAGGTTCCCCTTTATCTGAGTATGCAGCCCGGCTGGCCAGAAAATCCGGGGGGAAAAATGTGTCTCCTCTCCACCTGAACCATTCCAGGCCACATGACCTCAACATGGAGGTTGTACCTTAACAGGTGTTGCAGCCTCATCTAAATTTTGGTGGATTGAAACCTTTTATCAGTTTTAAATTTAAGCCATTAAATACTCAACATACCCCATTTACGTAGACTGTTAAAAACTGTGGACTGGACAGTTTTTAAGTGTTCTTGCATGGCAAGACCACTTACTGTTATCTCACATATATATTCTTATTATTATAGCCAAATTTACCACCCTAACTCCTCCCACAGTTTTTACACTACATAGACAATAAATATACCGAAACGTGCGGATTGTTCCCGATTGGTGTGCTATTACTTTGTGGAACGTTTCGCCGAATGGTTCACGAAACATTGGCGTTTTTGTGGTGAAATTGGTCCCATAGGAATGAGTGGCGAAATGTTCACAACTAGAGTGGAAGCTGACAAAAGCTAGAGTGTGAGCTGAAATATCAGGACATGATTTTTAAACTGCCATCACTCCCTCATTTACAAGCCCACCTACACAAATCTTATATCAAAACGTTCAGCTATCCCTGCTGCCACTAAAAATGTCCACGGCTAAGCCATAGTCCTGATAGTTTTCACAATATGACCATTTGTTTGCAACTCACACCGCCCATTGACATTCATTGAAACTCCACTCTAGCCACCTCATATTTGAAAGGCAATATCTAAACTGCGACTGTGACTTCATTTTTAATACTTCAGAGACATACTATGCATCAAAATGTAGGTCCGGGTTTTGTGATTCTCACAATATAAAGCTCTTCAGTGTAAAATTTATAATTTTTAAACTACAACCGTTTGAAGATGGCAACCACCAGTGAAGTGAGCAAGTTGGAGCAGTTTGTTTTAACTGCTCTTCTCTGCCCTTGCTGTAGAGTGAGTTGCCATAGAAACCCAGGTGTGTGAGCAGGCAGCAGAGTGACAAAAGCTAGAGTGTGAGCTTAAAAATCAGGACATGATTTCTAAATTGCCATCACTCCCTCATTTTCAAGCCCTAGACTACTGGTGGAGGCAAGAACACTTCACACAATTTGCCCAGAAATTGTAGCTTTTCTAGTATTATTAGTCATAATAAATGTTATGTTTTATTTATATATACCGTATTTTTCGCTCCATAAGACGCACCTGACCATAAGACGCACCTAGGTTTTAGAGGGGAAAAACAAGAAAAAAAAAGATTCTGAACCAATGGACTGCAGACACAGTAGAGGGGGATGACCAGAGACTGCGGACACAGTACAGGAGATGACCAGAGACTGCGGACATACTACAGGAGATGACCAGAGACTGCGGACATACTACAGGGGGTGACCAGAGACTGCGGACACAGTACAGGAGATGACCAGAGACTGCGGACACAGTACAGGAGATGACCAGAGACTGCGGACACAGTACAGGAGATGACCAGAGGCTGTGGACACAGTACAGGAGATGACCAGAGACTGCGGACACAGTACAGGGGATGGCCAGAGACTGCGGACATAGTACAGGGGATGACCAGAGACTGCGGACACAGTACAGGAGATGACCAGAGACTGCGGACACAGTACAGGGGATGGCCAGAGACTGCGGACATAGTACAGGGGATGACCAGAGACTGCGGACATAGTACAGGGGATGACCAGAGACTGCGGACATACTACAGGGGGTGACCAGAGACTGCGGACACAGTACAGGAGATGACCAGAGACTGCGGACACAGTACAGGAGATGACCAGAGACTGCGGACACAGTACAGGAGATGACCAGAGGCTGTGGTCACAGTACAGGAGATGACCAGAGACTGCGGACACAGTACAGGAGATGACCGGAGACTGCGGACACAGTACAGGAGATGACCAGAGACTGCGGACACAGTACAGGAGATGACCAGAGACTGCGGACATACTACAGGAGATGACCAGAGACTGCGGACATACTACAGGGGGTGACCAGAGACTGCGGACACAGTACAGGAGATGACCAGAGACTGCGGACACAGTACAGGAGATGACCAGAGACTGCGGACACAGTACAGGAGATGACCAGAGACTGCGGACACAGTACAGGAGATGACCAGAGACTGCGGACACAGTACAGGAGATGGCCAGAAGCCACTGAGACTGCGGACACAGTACAGGGGATGGCCAGAGACTGCGGACACAGTACAGGGGATGACCAGAGACTGCGGACACAGTACAGGGGATGACCAGAGACTGCAGACAGTGCAGGGAATGACCAGAGACTGCAGACAGTGCAGGGGATGACCAGAGACTGCAGACAGTGCAGGGAATGACCAGAGACTGCAGACAGTGCAGGGAATGACCAGAGACTGCAGACAGTGCAGGGGATGACCAGAGACTGCAGACAGTGCAGGGAATGACCAGATACTGCTGACTTTGGGGAGGGAGGGGGAGCGGGTACCTGAATTTGACAGGTACCCGCTCCCACTTCCGCGGAGTTGTCCTTCCTTCTTCCCGGGCCGGCTTCTGTGACAGCCGGGTGCCCACTGCGCATGCGCGAGAAGCGCTGCGCTTTGAGAATGGCCCGGCGCCTTCTGGGACCTGTCATGTGTCCCAGAAGACACCGGATCATTCACAAAACGCAGCACATGCGCAGTGGGCACCCGGCTGTCACAGAAGCCAGCGCGGGAAGACTGTGCAGCGCTGGAGCGAGGAACAGGTAAGGCCCTGCAGGAGAGAACAGCTGAGCAGCCAGCCCGGTATTCTGACATGGTGGCGGCAGAAATACCAGACCGGCCGCTTTATATTCGCTCCATAAGACACACTGACATTTTCCCCCCATTTTTGGGGGGAAAAAAAGTGCGTCTTATGGAGCGAAAAATACGGTACTCTATAATGCCTCCAAATCATTGGATTCAGGTGTTCCAATCACCTTCATGGCCACAGGTGTATAAAATCAAGCACCTAGGCATGCAGACTGCTTCTACAAACATTTGTGAAAGAATGGATCGCTCTCAGGAGCTCAGTGAATTCAAGCGTGGTACCGTGATAGGTTGCCACCTGTGCACTAAGTCCATCTGTGAAATTTCCTTGCTACTAAATATTTCACTGTCAACAAAGTGGAAGCTGCTGGAAACAGCAACTCCACACCATGAAGTGGTAGGCCACGTAAAATGACAGAACGGAGTCAGCGCATGCTGAAGCTTGCAGCGCCAACTGCGTCTTCTCTCTCTCTGCAGAGACAGTAGCTAAAGACCTCCAAACTTTGTGTGGCCTTCAGATTAGCACAACAACAGTGCATAGAATGGGATTCTATGGCCAAACAGCTGAATCCAAGCCTTACATCACCAAGTGCAATGCAAAGCGGCAGATGTAGTGGTGTAAAGCACGCCGCCACTGAACTCTAGAGCAGTGGAGATGTGTTCTCTAGAGTGACGAATCACGCTTCTCTGTCTGGCCATCCCATGGACATGTCTGGATTTGGCGGTTGCCAGGAGAATGGTACTTGCCTCACTGCATTGTGCCAAGTGTAAGGTTTGGTGGAGAGGGGATTATGGTGTGGGGTTGTTTTTCAGGGGTTGGGCTTGGCCTCTTAGTTCCAGTGAAGGGAACTCTTAAGGCACCAGCACACCAAGATATGTTGGACAATTTCATGCTCCCAACTGTGTGAGAACAGTTTGGGGATGGCCCCTTCCTGATCCAACATGACTGCGCACCAGTGTACAAAGCAAGGTCTATAAATACATGGATGAGTGAGTTTGGGGTGGAGGAACCTGACTGGCCTGCACAGAGTCCTGACCTCAACCCGAATAAATACCTTTGGGATGAATTAGAATGGAGACTACGAGAGAAGCCAGGACTTCTCATTTGACATCAGTGCCTGACCTCACAAATGCGCTTCTGGAAGAATGGTCAAGCATTCCCATAGACACATTCCTAAACCTTGTGGACAGCCTTCCCAGAAGAGTTGAAGCTATTATAGCTGCAAAGGGTGGGCCAACTCAATATTGAGCCCTACGGACTAAGGACAATTACAGGCTCAAGGTGGTTCTCTCGTTCTGATAGGACGTCATATGATGTCCTACCATTCTCACTGCGCATGCGCTGCTCAGGTAGCGCGCAGTGCGGTGATCGCCGGTCGGACACAGCGGATCACGGAAAAAAAGCCGAAGATGTCAGCTCGGTCATGTGATCAGCTGTGTCCAATCACAGCTGATCACATGTAAACACGGAAATGCCGGTAATTGGCATTTTCTCTCCTCTCACACTGTCACGCTGACAGATCGAGAAGAGAGGAGAGCCGGTAATCGGCTTTCCGCGGAGGGGACATGTACACTGATCATCAGGGCACTGATGATCAGTGTGCCCTGATGATCAGTGTGGCCCCAGAAGTGCCACCTGTCAGTGCTCATCAGTGCCAGTGCCCATCAATGCCAGTGCCCATCAGTGCCACATCAATGCCACATATCAGTGCATACCAGTGCACATCAATGCCACATATCAGTGCCCATCTGAGCTGCCTTTCAATGTCACCCATCAGTGCCAGTCAGTGCCACCTATCAATGACAATCAGTGCAACCTATCAGTGCTGCCAATCAGTGCCAGTCAGTGTTGCCTAACAGTGCCAGTCAGTGCCGCCTATCAGTGCCAGTCAGTGCCGCATATCAGTGCCATATATCAGTATCATGTATCAGTTCTGCCTTTCAGTGCCCATCAGTGATGCCTGTCAATGCCCATCAGTGCAACCTACCAGTGCCTCCTCATCAGTGCCCATCAATGCCATCTATCAGTGTCCATCAGTGCAGCCTATCAGTGCCCATCACTGCAGCCTCATTAGTGCACATCAGTGAAGGAGAAAAATCACTTATTTACAAAATTGTATAACAAAAACTAGGAAAAACTTTTTTTTTTCCAACATTTTTTGGTTTGTTTAAGAAAAAATCCCAGAGGTGATTAAATACCACCAAAAGAAAGCTCTATCTGTCTCAAAAAATGATAAAAACTTCATATGGGTACAATGTTGCATGACCGCGCAATTGTCATTCAAAGTGTGACAGCGCTGAAAGCTGGAAATTGGCCTGGGCAGGAAGGGGGTATAAGTGCCCTGTAGGCTAGTGGTTAAAGTTCATGTACATGTAAAGGCAGGCTTTTGGCAATATAGTGTATGTATGTATGTATGTATGTATATATATATATATATATATATATATATATATATACAGTTGCAAGAAAAAGTATGTGAAACCCCTTGGGATTACGTGGAGTTTTGCATGAATTGGGCATAAAATGGGCTCTGAGCGTCATCTAAGTCACAACAATAGAAGAACACAGTCTGCTGAACATAATACTACACAAACATTAGATGTTGCCATGGTTTAATTGCACATAACATGTAAACATTCACAGTGCAGGGAGGAAAAAGTATGTGAACCTTTGGACTTAATAACTGGTTGACCCTCCTTTGGCAGCAATAACCTCAACCAAACGTTTCCTGTAGTTGCAGATCAGACCTGCACAACGATCTGGAGTCATTTTGGACCACTCCTCTTCACAAAACTGTTTCAGTGTAGCAATATTCTTGGGATGTCTGGTGTGAATCGCTCTCTTAAGGTCATACCACAGCATTTCAATCGAGTTGAGGTCAGGACTCTGACTAGGCCACTCCAGAAGGCGTATTCTGTGCTGTTGCAGCCATTGTTTTGTTGAATTACTGGTATGCTTTGGGTCATTGTCCTGTTGCATCACCCATCCTCTGCGGAGCTTCAGTTGGCGGACAGATGGTCGTACGTTTTCCTGCAAAATGTCTTGATAAACTCTGGAATTCATTTTCCCATCAATGACAACAATCCGTCAGGCCCTGAGGCAGCAAAGCAGCCCCAAACCATGATGCTCCCTCCGCCATGTTTTACAGTGGGGATGAGGTTTTGATGTTGGTGTGCTGTGCCTTTTTTTCTCCACACATAGTGTTGTGTGTTCTTCCCAAACAACTCAATCTTGGTTTCATCTGTCCACAGTATATTTTGCCAGTAGTGCTGTGGAACATCCAGGTGCTCTTTTGCAAACTTCAAACGTGCTGCAATATTCTTTTTGGACAGCAATGGCTTCCTCCGTGGTGTCCTCCCATGTACTCCATTCTGGTTTAATGTTTTCCTTATTGTAGATGTGTCAACAAAAATGTTAGCATGTGCCAGAGATTTCTGTAGGTCTTTAGCTGACACTCTGGGATTCTTCTTTACCTCATGCAGCATTCTGCGCTGTGCTCTTGCAGTCATTTTTACAGGACGACCACACCTAGGGAGAGTAGCAACAGTGCTAAACGTTCTCCATTTGTAGACAGTCTGTCTTACAGTGGACACATGAACATCAAGGCTTTTGGAGATACTTTTGTAACCCTTTCCAGCTTCATGTAAGTCAACAATTCTTGATCGTAGGTCTTCTGAGAGCTCTTTTCTGCGAGGCATGGTTCACATCAAACAGTGCTTCTTGAAACCAGTAAACCAAAAACAGGTGTGTGTTTTTTAAGGGGCAGGACAGCTGTCAGCAACACATCCAATATCATCACACTGATTGGAGTCAAGGTTGGCTCACTCCTGGCTCCAATTAGCTCTGGGAGAAGTCATTAAGCTAGGGCCTCACATACTTTTTCCTCCCTGCACTGTGAATGTTTACATGTTATGTGCAAAAACCATGGCAACATCTAATGTTTGTGTAGTATTATGTTCAGCAGACTGTGTTCTTCTATTTTTTGTGACTTAGATGACGTTCAGAGCACATTTTATGCCCAATTCATGCAAAACTCCATGTAATCCCAAGGGGTTCACATACTTTTTCTTGCAACTGTATATGATGCGCTGGCCAGTGAAGAGCATCACTTCTGCATTATTGAATTAATATTATTTCCCATAATTAGGCAATAGCTGTTTCTGCCCATCTCTCCTTGCTGCTAGTCATGTGCATGGGTATTGATGGGTTCCTGAGGTCACACCTATACCTGTGTTTATCTGGCTTCTTCTAGTGAATTCAATATATTAACTACTACACGATTTTGGTGCTGTCTGCTGGTTCTTTTATTTTCCCCGTTGCTTGTGCCTATTAGGATTAGGGGGTTATTTTTATGCCCATTGGCCAAAGCACCACTGCTTATGACACATTTCAGTCCTACTGCCTACAAATCAGAGTCTCCTATTATCTTTATGGGGTCCTCATTGCTTACATTGTCAGGTTGATCTACATACTGGTGCATGAAGATCCATGCTACAAGGACATATAGATCTACTTCTAGTGGACCTGTATCTTAAGGAGGAACTTCAGTTTGTGTTTTTTTTTTTTTTTTTTTTTTTTTAAAAGTCAGCAATTGTAAATAATGTAGCTGCTGACTTTTAAAAATCAGGTACCCTCCAGATACTTGGGGTCCATCACTGTCTTCTTAAAGCAGGTTCTTCTTACTGCTGCAGCCCCCCGCCCTTCCAGAGGAACCACATCCAGCTCCAAATTGTGAGTTTGTGTGGCGCTTTGTGAATAGTCTTGCAGCCTCCTGGGACAAGTGACGTGGAGCCCTGAAGGCTCCGGGAGCGGGCCTTAGGCAAACACTGTGGAAGTGGGAGTGGGTACTGATAAAAATGAGTGCTTTCTCTCCCCAAAAAAATCTGCTACAGTTACAAGCTGCGAGGAGGGGGCAAACTGGCAGCGTTTCTCTTTTTTTTTGATTGTAAAGTGATTTCTTGGGGTGAATTTTGATTGTGAAGGCAGATTTTTTATTAAAAAACTTACCAGCTCTGTGTAATGGCTTTGCACAGAGCAGCCCCGATCCCCCTCTTCTCGGGTCCCCTACCGATGGCTCCTGCTGCTGTCTCAGCCAATGAGGAGTGTGAGAATCTGGGACAGCCGAGGCTCCCGTGAACATCGCTGGATCGGGCTTGGGCTTAAGAGGGAGCTGGGGGGGCTGCTGCACACAGGTTTTTTTTACCTTCATGCATAATAAAACCTTGAGCCTTTTCAACCATTTTAAGTGTATGTAAATTGAAAAAATGTTTTAGCTTTGAAAGGTTGAAAGGTTAGAACTCCTTCAGATTTTTATTGCTGTCTTTGTACCCGCGGGGGGTGTCACCCTCACTGTTGGTCCTGTTGACCATTGTCTCTGATGCAGAAAGCGATGGGAATCCATAACCTCACAGTTGTCAATGAGGACAGCTATTCTGGTGACAGCTGGGGCACTATTCCCTTGCTTTGGAGAGATCGTCTCTTTTTTTTTGCTGTGTCACTGGGAGAGGAAGTGAAGAGGAAATCTACTTGATTGGACAAAGACAAAAAAAACTGACAAAGATCATAACCCTTCTCTATTCTATCCAATGCTATAAATAGTTGTACACTTGAATTAAACCAGTATTAATGTATTTAAAGCAAAACACAGCTAAAAATACAAAGATAAATGTGAACAGCCTATTAAAAGGTAAAATAACAAAACCAGCATTTGTTGCAATAGTCATCTTTAATCCAGGGATTTCCATGAAGAATTCTTCTACCATGAGATGTCCTCAGTATGATGGGCAAAATATTCAGCTTGGTTCCTCTAAGCTTAGGCTGTCCTGGATGCACCTCCCTCTTGTGACTGGACAGTGAAAGGAAAAACAGCTCATCTCTCTCTCCTCTCTTCTCAGCACACAAACTGATCGGCTCCTTGTGCTGCTTCTTCTTGTCACACTCCAGCCCTGCTGCAAAGGGTCTTCAAGAGGCTGATACTAGGTGAATTTGAAGTAGTGACATTTAAAAAATAAATGTGATGATGCAATAATAAATTCAGAACTGCAACTGTGTCTTTGATATCTGCCTACAGTTCAGCTTTAAAAGTCTTTGAAGGAAACCTGTACTCAAAGAGGTAGGGGGTACACAGTTCTCAGCCCTATTACTTACAGGCCAGAGTCTCCTGTTATTGTTTATGGGGTCCTCATCGCCCACATTGTCTGGCATATGTAACAATAACTAAAATGAAGATCTGTTCATAACTCCTCCTTTCTATCTTAAGCTGATCACAAATTGTTCTTATTCCACAGAGACAGTAGGAGCTTCTCCTATACTTGACTGTATGTGAGCTGTGCTCTCAGTAAATGTAAAGATGGGTGGGCAGAGAAACAAAATCTGTGAGGTTGTCAGCCCCTAGAGAGCATGTTAGGTAAAAAGGTAAAATCATTATTTAGTTATATTTATTTAAATATACAGTATATAAAGCACAAGGAAAACAGGCAGCTTACGATTTTTGTTTTTACGCAGAGATATAAAGTCAGGTCATTCTGTCACTTGATACAGTGTAATTCCAAGTATTGTTCTGGGTTATTAGGCGGAGATAATGATCACTGTGCAGAACACAAGGACCCGTGATAACAGCACTCAGAACTGCTCCGGTTTATACAGTAACCCTTTGAATGTTCAATATTAACCACTGAGACAGTGTCATTGATTCACACATGCAGCTAGTAGGCCGACACACTGGAGTGTCACTTGTAGTAATGGGAGACTACATGGAATAAAGAATGGGGAAGCACTTCCATATTTTCTTTTGCAAATATTTTATAAGATTGGGAGGGTCTTTACAATTCATTCA